AAAGGTACTTAGATTTTTTTTTTATTGAAATAGTTACTGTGCCATCATCCACATACAGAAAGAGAAGAGATAATGTAAATTAAACAGCGTGTGTTTATTATCACTTTAAATCTGAATTCCAGGTATGGGCTTTTTTGCAGAAATACATTGCTGCAGCTTGGATCAATGTAAGTATGCATATATCATACCTGTGAATCCCTGTGAAAGCTGATAACCCCTGTACTACTGTACTTGCTGTTACTACAGTGATTGTCACAATCTTCTGGGTCCTGTGCTGATCAGCTCCTCTGCTGCATAACGACCGCACGGGGCCGCTTGCTCGGTACAAGTGCCATTCAAAGAATGCCTTACATTTTTCTCAATGAATGCAAGGTGTTCAATGATTGGATGAGGTGGAATGGCAGGGCAATCACTAGTCCAATCAGTGAACGCTTTGCATTGATTGAGAAAGGTGCAAGGCATTCTGTGAATGGCACCTCCTATGTATACTATGCAGCAGGGCAGCCATTTGACACAGGACTCAGGAGTTAGTGGCGATCACTGCAAGTTGATGCTACTACAGTGTTTCTCTTTTTCAACAGGGATCCCGCTGGTATAGCATATGCATAAATTACATTGGACCAATGTAACTATGCAAAAAAATTATATCTTCAATTCGGAAAAGGTCTTGGCAAGTCAGATACTTTGTGTACTGAAGGCGAAAGCTGAGCGTCAAAAAAAAAAATCTAAATGCACACAATTGTAATACATATATGAGAGCAGTCAACTGCTTCCAAATCATTTGTATTTCTGTTTATTAAGTCCTGAGAATCATACAGCTCTGCTAGATAAAGCAGCTTAGCAATACATTTAGATCACCTTCTGCCCAAGCTTGTGATTGGAAAGAGAGTAGACAGACTAACAAGTTCATCTGTCTGCTCTCTTTCCTCCTATGTGAATGTTGTCATGTGCACACAGCACACCTGATTGAGCCCTATTGCTACCACTTGCTGTAGTTCTGAAACAAGGTACCATGTATGCTTTGTATGTATGATCGAAACTGATAACATCCACCTACAGAAGGTTGGCAGCAGGCATACGTAGAGATTGACATACAGTTGTGTTCAAAATAATAGCAGTCAGACATCACTAACCTGATCAATCACTATTTTTGGTAGAAATGATATTTCTACATGGAAAATAATTTATTAGTAGGTGTAGTAGAGTAATAGAAATCCAACAGACCCAACAGTCATGACATGCATGCTGCTGATTCTGTGTAATTGAATCACTAATTGAAAGGGGCATGTTCAAAATAATAGCAGTGTGGAGTTCTATTAGTGAGGTCATTCATTCTTTGAAAAACAGGTGACAATTATTGCTCTTATTTAAGGAAGGAAGGCAGCAAATGTTGTACATGCTGGTTACAGTGCATTTCTCTCTGAAATTCTGAGGAAAATGGGTCGTTCCAGACAGTGTTCAGAAGAATAGCATACCTTGATTAAAAAGTTGATTGGAGAGGGGAAAACATATAAAGAAGTGCAGAAAATGATAGACTGCTCAGCTAAAATGATCGCAAATGCTTTAAAATGGCAACCAAAACCTGACAGACGTGGAAGAAAGCAAAAAATACCATTCAAATGGATAGAAGAATAGCCAAAATGGCGCGGACTCAGCCAACAATCAGCTCCAGGAAGATCAAAGAAGGTCTAAAGTTCCCTGTGAGTACTGTTACAATTAGAAGACGCCTATGTGAAGCCAAGCTATCTGCAAGAAGCCCCCGCAAAGTCCCACTGTTGAAAAAAAGACGTGCTGAAGAGGTTACAATTTGCCAAAGAGCACATTGACTGGCCTAAAGAGAAATGGTGCAACATTTTGTGGACTGATGAAAGTAAGATTGTTCTTTTTGGGTCTAGTGGCTGGAGACAGTTTGTCAGACGACCCCCAAACACTGAATTCAAGCCACAGTACACTGTGAAGACAGTGAAGCATGGTGGTGCAAGCATCATGATATGGGAATGTTTCTCATACTACGGTGTTGGGCCAATGTATCGCATACCAGGGATCATGGATCAGTTTGAATACATCAGAATACTTGAAGAGGTCATGCTGCCTTATGCTGAAGAGGAAATGCCCTTGAAATGGGTGTTCCAACAAGACAACGACCCCAAACACACCAGTAAACGTGCAACATCTTGGTTCCAGACCAACAAGATTGACGTTATGGAGTGGCCAGCCCAATCCCCGGATCTTAATCCAATAGAAAACTTGTGGGGTGACATCAAAAATGCAGTTTCTGAGGCAAAACCAAGAAATAGAGAAGAACTGTGGAATGTACAGTTGCAAGAAAAAGTATGTGAACCCCTTGGGATTACGTGGAGTTTTGCATGAATTGGGCATAAAATGTGCTTTGAACGTCATCTAAGTCACAACAATAGAAGAACACAGTCTGCTGAACATAATACTACACAAACAACATTAGATGTTGCCATGGTTTAATTGCACATAACATGTAAACATTCACAGTGCAGGGAGGAAAAAGTATGTGAGGCCCTAGCTTAATGACTTCTCCCAGAGCTAATTGGAGCCAGGAGTGAGCCAACCTTGACTCCAATCAGTGTGATGATATTGGATGTGTTGCTGACAGCTGTCCTGCCCTTAAAAAACACACACCTGTTTTGGGTTTACTGGTTTCAAGAAGCACTGTCTGATGTGAACCATGCCTCGCAGAAAAGAGCTCTCAGAAGACCTATGATCAAGAATTGTTGACTTGCATGAAGCTGGAAAGGGTTACAAAAGTATCTCCAAAAGCCTTGATGTTCATGTGTCCACGTTTAGACAGACTGTCTACAAATGGAGAAAGTTTAGCACTGTTGCTACTCTCCCTAGGCGTGGTTGTCCTGTAAAAATGACTGCAAAAGCACAGCGCAGAATGCTGCATGAGGTAAAGAAGAATCCCAGAGTGTCAGCTAAAGACCTACAGAAATCTCTGGCACATGCTAACATTTTGTTGACACATCTACAATAAGGAAAACATTAAACAAGAATGGAGTACATGGGAGGACACCACGGAGGAAGCCATTGCTGTCCAAAAAGAATATTGCAGCACGTTTGAAGTTTGCAAAAGAGCACCTGGATGTTCCACAGCACTACTGGCAGAATATACTGTGGACAGATGAAACCAAGATTGAGTTGTTTGGGAAGAACACACAACACTATGTGTGGAGAAAAAAAGGCACAGCACACCAACATCAAAACCTCATCCCCACTGTAAAACATGGCGGAGGGAGCATCATGGTTTGGGGCTGCTTTGCTGCCTCAGGGCCTGGACGGATTGTTGTCATTGATGGGAAAATGAATTCCAGAGTTTATCAAGACATTTTGCAGGAAAACGTACGACCATCTGTCTGCCAACTGAAGCACCGCAGAGGATGGGTGATGCCACAGGACAATGACCCAAAGCATACAAGTAATTCAACAAAACAATGGCTGCAACAGTACAGAATACGCCTTCTGGAGTGGCCCAGTCAGAGTCCTGACCTCAACCCGATTGAAATGCTGTGGCATGAACTTAAGAGAGCGATTCACACCAGACATCCCAATAATATTGCTACACTGAAACAGTTTTTGTGAAGAGGAGTGGTCCAAAATTACTCCAGATCGTTGTGCAGGTCTGATCTGCAACTACAGGAAACGTTTGGTTGAGGTTATTGCTGCCAAAGGAGGGTCAACCAGTTATTAAGTCCAAAGGTTCACATACTTTTTCCTCCCTGCACTGTGAATGTTTACATGTTATGTGCAATTAAACCATGGCAACATCTAATGTTTGTGTAGTATTATGTTCAGCAGACTGTGTTCTTCTATTGTTGTGACTTAGATGACGTTCAGAGCACATTTTATGCCCAATTCATGCAAAACTCCACGTAATCCCAAGGGGTTCACATACTTTTTCTTGCAACTGTAGTCCAATCATCCTGGGCTGGAATACCTGTTCACAGGTGCCAGACGTTGGGTGACTCCATGCAACACAGATGTACAGCAGTTCTCAGAAACAGAGCTTATACAACAAAATATTCATTAAGTGATTCAAAAGAAAGCAAAATCTTCAAACATTTTTCAGTTTATAAAGTGAAATGTTTGAGTTTGTAAAGAAGAATGCAAACACTGCTATTTTTTTGAACAGTCTAATATTCACTTCAATTTTTTTTAGAGGAACAACACAAATTTGATATATTTTTCTTCATGTTTTGATTTGGAATAGAATGTGTAGTGTTCCCAATGCATTTGTGTGGATGGAAATAAAAGCTATTAGAAGGATTTTGAGCTTTATTCACTTTTTCAACACACTGCTATTATTTTGAACACAACTGTATGTAGGTAAATGCCCAATAACCTGATTAGAACATATTATCAATCAATCAATCAATCAATCACTCAATCAAAGCAATCAAAACCTTATGACATCATTACCATATCTGGCCTGGCCTGGCATTCATTCCTCTTCCAGGAGGCCTGGTACTTCAATGAATGTTGATGAGTGAGCATGCAGACTTCAGGTTACCTACATTTTGATATTCTGGACTGCATACCAGATCTTCCCTAAACACATGTGTTTTAAATCAGTCACCTGAATCTGAATGCATTTGTTTTGGGTCCTGTGTTTGTGGTGGACACTCAGTGGGCATCAGAAATGTCTACCAGTCGCCTCTTTGAAAGCCTTTGTGGGGAAGTGTGGTTGACGGGGCAGCAATTGTCAGATGTCAGGTGATCTCTTACCCCTGACTCTCAAACTGATAGCATGCACACTCAGCTCAGAGGTGTAGGCTCTTCTCCTTGCATCTGTGACTTGAGCAGAACTTCCAGATGATGCTTATAAATGATTGGTGGCTGGAAGCTCTGTTATCATTACTGAATAGAAGGAAGTGGGTGCCGTGAAAAATGATTTGACTGTATAACCACTTCAAAGATTTTAAACAGGACACAGAGGAGTTTAACTACACTCCTATTTCTTCCTATTGCAGATTAGGATCTTCACTCACTATGAACTTCTCAAGACCTGATCCTGAAGTGAACCAGATGAATATCCTGAGGACAACAACTTCTCCTGCCTGCCTGGATCACTGTCGTGCAGGGCAGGTACTGTCTTTAGCCTGCATGAACCTGCTACCACAATAATGTCTTATCTTAGTGGTAATCTCTTTATCTGCAGTCTGGCAGTCTACCAGTTTTAATCAAGCCTGTGGGTATCTGCAAATGCCACCAGATGTCCACTGTTGGGGAGAACTAGTGATGGGACAAGTTACGATATAATAAAAAATTCTGCAGTCTTTATTCTTTTACCAGATAAGCTGGTAGCATCCTCTGTCCAATCCCCTACCCCTTCTCCTTAAATTCACATAAATTTGATTCTTTATGGACCACTCTGAATGTCATTTACCGGTACATTAAAGGCAGCCAGATCATGTTTGCACATTCTACTGCCCTCTAAAGACATTTTACTATCATTATAACCTTGTTGCAAACCATGTGCTACACAGACACCAGGATTTAAGTAAGTGTGTCACCTCTAAACCAGCCTTCCAGTCCAGGAACAAGTCTCAGATCCTGGATTATGCATGAACAAAAATCCTTCTGATTCTGCAGATGGAGGCATTATCAGGTGGAGTACTGTGATCTTTGTGAAGGGTGTTACTCATGCACATTACTTAGCATTCATGCACTTATTTCAAATATATTTAATGCTGAGTTCACTTTAAAAGAAATCCAGATATGGATATTTTATACACAGTTACATTGGTCCAGCTTAGACCAATGTAACTATGCATATACCATACCTGGCTGACCCCCTGGAAGCTGGAAATCACTGAAGTAGAAACCGCTACACCAGTGATCTCCACTTGCTTCTAGATCTCATGCTCCCCTGCTACATTCTGAGCACAGGAGGTCGGCCGCTCGCCACAGGTGCCATTCTGAGAATGCTTTGCCTTTTCTGGATGAATGCAAAGTGTTCTCTGATTGAACAAGGTGGAGAGGCAGGGTGGTCATGCTCTCCAACTTGTTTCAATGTCTGAATGGTGCCCACACCCAAATGGAAGACCTATGTTCAAATTGCAGCAGGCCAGCCATTCAGCACAGGGCCCAGAAGCAAGCAGAGGTCTCTTGAGTAGCGGTGTGTGTACTTTTTTGTTTTCCACATTCCAGGGGAAGGTATGGTATATGCTAGTTTACATTGGACCAATGTAACTACTTAACCAGTGCTCTGCTGGACACTGATAGAAGTCACAAGACTGCTCTAACTGCTGATGTACCATTGGGAGAAAATGATTTAATCTTAGGTATTTAAAGAAGACACATGGCCACACAATGAAGTTGGACGAGAAGCCATTCAATCTTAAACTGCGTAAGGGGTTCTTTACTTTTAGAGTAGTAAAGATGTGGAACTCCCTTCCACAGTTGGTGTTGTCAGCAGGGAGTGTAGATAAATTCAGAACATTTTTAGATGTTCTTCTCAGCAAACATAATGTACAGGGATTAGAAATTGGCATCGACATTGCAAGGATTTAACCTATGTCTGTATCCCCGGTCCTCGTTATTTTCACCCTCAGGCCTGGGAGAAATAAAGCTCTGGACACCGAAGTGTGCAAGCTAAATCTCTGAAAGTTGAATGCATGACAAGAACGGTTATACAGAACTCAGTAGGCTTTGCTTAGTCTCAGAATGACCAATGAAACATTCCATTCTTATCAATATAGTTACGTGAAGAACAGAAACTGCAAATAGTTGAGGGATATCATATAAGGTAGTTCCGTTTACAGAAGTGAAACTAGTCTAAGAAAAGAAGAGAGAAGTTACAAAACCGAGACTAAATGTCTAGAAATGGAGGCATTATACAAAATGGATGCCAGGTAATAAGACATATTTCCTTACAGACATAAACACACATACACATGTTGAACTGGATGAAACAGTGTCATTAGTCAATCTTACCAACTATGTAAGTAGTGATGGTATAATAACTCATCCATCTTTGTAAACCAAGCTTGTTGCATTTATTTGGCTGGAGTCATAAACAAAAATATGTAAATGTGAAATGTGGACAGTGTTATTTGCTATAGAGCTGCATGGAGTTCACAGCAGTCTTTCCGTTGTCTCTTTTTTAATAGGAACTGTGCTACCTGTGTCTACAGCGGGCCCAGAAAAATATCCCGGTGTACTTCACAGAGGAGAGAAAACTGAAAGATAAGGAGGAGGAGAGAATATTACAGCAATACCAGCACATGAAAGACCAAGAAGCCATCCTAAAGTCTCAGGTATTGCCTACAATAACATATGTCAGATCTGGCCTGTTGGTCTTTATGATAGAAAGTGAAGGAAGAACAATTCCACGGCAGCAGGGGCGGACTGACAACTCATGGGGCCCCCAGGCAATAGGGGATCATGGGGCCCCTGTGTCCTCGCCCACAATCAAACCACACCCAAAAAAGCCTATGAAAAGGTACCAGGGGCATCTCATGGGGCCCCCTACTGACCCAGGGCCCTCGGGCATTACCCGAGTTCCCAAATGGTCAGTCCGCCCCTGCACGGCAGTCATTATGATTCTCTCTACTGTGCTAAAAACAAGATGTAGGATAGGTTTGCTGTTTTTTTTTGGTGGGGGGGGGGGGGGGGGGGGGGGGGGGGGGGGGGGGGGGGGGAGGGCTCAGAACATTATCAGCAAGTATAGAAAATACCTGTTGATCTGGCCAGACATGCAGTGACCATGTCCTTGTAAGATATTCTGGAAGTAAAGCAAAATCAAATGTATCTTTCTTCTGTAAACTACTCATCTCCACACTCCCCCCACCCCACACACCAATGTAATGGAGATGAACAAAGGCAGATAGGTTTGTAGTTCTGCCTGGATGACAACCATGGCTGCCTCCACAATGGAGAAGTGAGCGTGGCCAGGGACAGGTGAAAAGTAAAAAGTAAATTTGAATAAACTGGAAAAAGATCACTGCAGCCACCACATCTAAGGACTGGTAAGCTGTAGTATACTACATTTGTGGGGGTTTAGATACACTTTAACCCATCAGGCCTAACACTTTTTCTGGCTTTTAATGCTTAAAGTGCATGCATAACCAAAACTATTTTTTTGGTGTTAGATAGAGTAGGGAAGGGCTTAAACACCTGTCAGGTTATTTTTTCACTGTCTCTGTACTATTATGGAAATTTCCCTTTGCTTCCTGCCCCTGAGGTGCAACAGAAAATTTGAGGAACTCTCCCAAAATGTGTCCCCATTAGAAGATTTCCTTTTATCTCTTGTTCTGGGAACAGCTCTAAAATTTTGGATTTTGTTTCATTTTCATTTCAGTGTCAACAGTCACCAGTACATATAGAGGGGTGAGCCTCCTCAGTGTGGACATAGACAGCAGTAAAAGATTAACAGAAGGTGTAAACCTTCCCCATTCTATCCAAAACAAAAAAAAAATGGTTTTAACCCTGACCCTACCATTAATCCTAACCCCCTAAAAGGTGCCCTTAAAGTGTTACTAAACCCACAACAGCAAAATCAGTCTGTATATGCAGTAAAGCATGCTTGACATACTCACTGTGGAACCTAAGGGGTTAATCCTGTGCACTGTGTAAAAAAGGCCTTTTGATCCTGACTTCTCTGCTCCTCCTCTTGTTCAAATGTCCACGTCTTAGCCCCTGATCCAGACTGAACCGTAGCCATTCTGCACATGCTCAGTTTAGTGTGTATTGCTAGAGAGGTTTTGTTTTTGGGGGGGGTGCATGCGATCAGCACAGGGCCAATCAGCACTGCCCAGACAGAGGTCAGGGGTTTTGCATCCTCCTAGAACAGAAAGAAAACTCCTCCTACAAGCTTTAACATATGCTCTGCTGAACACTGATAGAAGTCACAAGACTGCTCTAACTGCTGATGAGAAAAGGTATTTAGCAGTTTATATTTACAATTCCATGTTCTGTGTACTGTGGGAGACCAGATATAGTGAATACAGGGTCCTGGGTTTAGTAACACTTTAATAATTAGCTTCCACCTGCACTTCAGCTGCTAAAATCTAATCCTACAATTCTGTCCTCTGTACATGTTTCTCTGTGTGTAACTCAACATGCAGCTAAACCCTCCTATTCTGCAGTAAGCCAGACTGAATGTAATCATAAAGCTTTATTAACAGAACAGGGTGGGTGAAACTATTAGGAAAAAACAGATGAGAAATACATACAATCAATGTAAGAACATACAAAAAACACAAAGAATAGTTAGGCTATAGATGGCGATAAGTGATTCTCACCAGCGATGCTTCTGTTAGGGGATGCAAAAGAATGCAAGTTCCAGTTCAACAGGTGTTCTGGCTCCTTTTCTCCCATCTAAGATGGAATCTGAATTCCCAAGAAGCATCTAATCCCTTTCTCTCAGAATTATGGGTATTTTTATTAACTCGTAACTCTTATCTAAACAGTCTCTACTTTCTGTAAAACAGTATTTTTTTTACTGACTCCATCTAGTGGCCAATGTAATATTGCAGGCTGAATTTTCCCTGCTGGAGGCAGAACACCTACCACTAACCTAACTAAACCAAACCCCCAATGAATTAATATCATTTTTAGCATCTGTTTTTAGTAATGATAGAAAAATAGTGTGAAGAACTCTTCCGCACTAGTGAAGCACAGATCCAATTTACATAATGTAAAGTACAGTGTTGATCATAATGTCATTGCTAGAGCACAGTTATTCCTAGCAGCCTACTCACTCTTGTAGGTTTGTTGTATTGAGGTCTTCAAATTTCTACTTTTTCTTTCTATACAGATCAAATCTCATGTAATTCGAGAACAAAGTCAAAAAGACGCAGCGTATAACATGGGGGTCGCGGAAGCCATCAGGAATGAACGCAATGCTAGGAACACAGATTTTTATGTGAGTACATATTCTGTTTGTCGGTGTGACCATTGCTGCTCTCATCAGGGGTGTAATTACCACAAGGCAAACAAGGCATTTGCCTTGGGCGGCATTTCTTAGGGGGGGTAGCACTGCCCCTTGGAAGAAGGGACGGAAGAAGGAACACATGCGGAATGGGGACCTGGTGTGTTCCGAGAGATGCTGCGGGTTTCATGACAGTGTATGCAGAGCCCAACTCTCGTTCCTGGGGATGTCCAGAGCTGTAAAGGTGAGTGTCTTTCTCTCTCTCACCATGGGGGATGGTGGCTGGTGTATGGGGGGCAGTGGTAGTGAAAGGCTCGGGTGGAGGTCAGGGGTGTTATTGGTCAATGTCAGGCTCTTTATGCAAGGGGGTGGGCAATTTTTGTGTTGCCTAGGGCAGCACAAAACCTAAATACACCACTGGCCCCCATAATGACACTGGCCGAGCTAAACTGAATGAAGAGTGATAAGATGTCACTGACACACTGAATTTATTACTGACACCTGTTATTCTTATCATTCTTATTATTATGATTATTGATTAAAGCACAGTGGTATTTGAATAAAGAAGATTTCTGCAATTTTTAAAAGTTGTCAATAAACTGAGAATTAAATGGAATATGTAGCATTTTCACTATGTAACCTTTTCATTGTATACTTATTAGAAATGCAGGTTAATGCAATCAGCTGAATAAGATCCTGACATTAAAAAATAATCCCCAAGCAAGTGTAATCTGTAAGTGTGAATACATACTTTGCCCCCACTGCCAGAACCCTGCATGGTTCAATAGTTATCCTCAGCTAAGAAATCAACATTTCCAGGAGTATTGACATTCTTTGGACCTGCAGTGCTCACTGGTTTCTCCCAATGTCTATTGTATCCTACAGTCAAGTTCGAAGGTTAATAGTTCAGAGAGCCAAAGAGATTAACACTATATTAAGAGATTAATATAACTGGATACTAACAGTTATAGGTGAGGTTGATCCAGGGAATATCCAATTGCCTCCTGGGGGATCAGGAAGGAATATTTTCCCCTACAGGTACAAATTGGATCATGCTTTGATGGGGTTTTTTTGCCTTCCTCTGGATCAACTGTGGGTGTAGGATTATAACTTTTTTTTTAATGGTTGAACTGGATGGACCTTTGTCCTTTTTCAGCCAGACTAACTATGTAACTCCCAGTAGTGTTGGTTTCTTAGCAGATTTCAGCAGAGGATTTCTGTTGACACATGCAGCACTTAGATGGTATAGGCAGCAGAAAAAGAAAGTATTCACTATTTTATTTTGCAGGTACACTTGATTGGGATTTTCTTTTTAATGACTGGGTCATTTTAAAGGGTGAGTGTGATTTCAGACAAAGTAAGTCACCCTGGTTAGTCCTACTGACCTAGAAGAGAAAAAGGAGCGAAGTGCCTCTAAGTGCAATAAGTCTTTTAATTCAAGTCTAAATGTTGAAACACTCACATGTGTGAAGTAATCGTAAGCATAAAAACTGTGGTTAACAATAGTTAACGGTGGGGTGCTGCTTGAAAAAGGAACGCACTTCCGCCTTCCACGGCCAGTGCATGCTCCGAAACGCGTTGCAGTGCACCCTGGGATCTGACGTCATCACGGCCACGCCGCCGCTGCGCTCCAGCGTGCGTTCCATCCGGCTCTGAGGGAGGACGTGCACGCCGACCGGCCTCACCGCTGTTCCCCTCCAGCCACCACGCTGTTCCAGCCAAGAGCTGACCTCCCCACATCGCAGTAAGATGACGGCTCTTCACCTGGGTTACCACCCCACCGTTAACTATTGTTAACCACGGTTTTTATGCTTATGATTACTTCACACATGTGAGTGTTTCTACATTTAGACTTGAATTAAAAGACTTATTGCACTTAGAGGCGCTTCTCTCCTTTTTCTCATCTACAGAAGTTGCTACAGCTTATTTGGAAGCCTTGCCCTCAGTGCCACACGGAATACCTACGCTCTTCATACAGTAGCCACTAATACCACGATCACCCCATACTACCATTTCCCAGGACTTTGCAGTGTTTGCGCTGTTACAACCCTTCCTCATTTCTTCAGTCCTACTGACCTAAACTATCCATCCCCACCTCCTTCATCTACTTACTGCCCTGAGCAGCCACTGCTCTATTGGTTACGCCATTGGATAAATCTTCTTCATCTCGCCAAGCCTATGTAACGTGACTTCATAGATTTGTACAGTGCCGTCTCCTAAAAATGGAAACCGTTGGGAGATGGCCCTAAACAAGTCTATCAGGACACCCTATGCTGTGAGCCGTAAGGAAGGCTTTAACAAGTAAGATGTAAACATTGGAGTAGGCTGCTCCTGTCCTAATAGGGTAAGTATGCAGTTGGCTGGGGTTGGGTAGTGTAG